CAGTAGCCATAAAGGCCCGGTCATAATAGCATTAGGGGGAATGTAAGAAGTGCACAGGCTGAGAAAGATAAATCATTATACAAGAACACTTTCAAGCTTAACTTTCAAGGTTATTCAGTGGCCTCTTATAGATCTTGTGTCTGCGTCGGGTATATGAAACATTATATTTTCTCGTACGTCTTCTGAAAAATACACGCAGCGACAATCAAACAATTTCATTGTTTTTTTTGTCCGTTTTATCTTCTGTATTTCTTTTATTTAAATGGCATAACTTTTCACAGATAGGTTAGTTCTTACTTAATTTAATTCAAAATAAATTTAATGCATTTAATTTGTAATCATCTGTGCCATATAACCATGTATCAATGATAGTTTGGAAATGTGGACCCATGAAGATCCAGGGTGGAATACGCCTTCAGCAACCCACGCTTGTCGTAAGAGGCGACCATGCTTGTCGTAAGAGGCGATCAGGTGGTCAGGCTCTCTGACTTTGTTGATGCATGTCATCGTATCCCAATTGGGTGGGTCGATGCTCATGACATCAAACACGGAATTGTCTGGTGCAGATTAGATTATTTACAGGCCTTCGTCATATAGCTGGCATATTGCTGAGTGCGATAAACAAACAAAGAAACAAAGCATAGCACTTCTTGGCCTGCTGGTCATATTCAAGGAGCCGGACTGCAGAGTAATCTACTTGAAGAAGGAAGGAAAAGACACAGCAACAGAGGATGTATGGTTGATTGTGAATAAAAATATTCTGACCATGGATGATGTATTTGCTCCAATGCTTGATGGGTCAGAAGTGTTGTGTGGCAGTATCTTTGAACGGTTCAGTGGGATGCTTGCTACTGTATATTCCCTTAATTAACTGTATCCCAAACCAAGGGAGACGTCCATTACTTTCATTCAGAGATATGAGGTGTAACAGCCAAATTCGGAGTCAGTTAACACGTATCAGTACAGAACAATAAATGGTGACTATTTGGCAATGTTGTTCGTGTTCAGCAGTCAAGACCTGCATTTTTGATGTTGATATGTGAGATTACCAGAAAGTATTTGGTAACAAATTAGTTTCTTGTTTTGAAAATAATATGATGAAGGAATAAGCATATACCCCGAAACGTTGTGTTTCTCATGACTCAAGTCGTCGTTGTTGTTGCTGCCGTCGCCGTCGCCGTTACTAATCTGTTTCGCAGGTGAATGAGCTGTATCTGACCGTCTTCCAGTGGTTTTGTCACTCGGGGTCGTCCGGTTCTAGGCCTGTCCTGTGTCCTCCCTGTCTGCCTGTGGCGTTGAATCAGCCTGGCTACTGTCAATGGTGTACAACCAAACCTTCTGGAAATTTGGACCTGTGTTGCCCCCCATTTCGGCCATACCGATGGCTCTCTCTCTCTCTCTGCTCCTGTGACAGTCGTGGCATGTCTTTTGTATGCTTTCATCACGTGTGGTTATACCCTGCATTTATATAGCTAACATGCACGTGCAGTTTATGCCATAGGCGGGAAACCTGTTTCACCATTTTTTTTTGTCACTGCACGAGCCCCGTCAAAGGTGGCGCGTTCGGGTGAGGTGTTTTTTGGTACCTGTTCCTGGGCAGTGATATTCCCAATACCCACTTTCCACTAGTTATCGCTGTTTTTAGGAAAATTACAAAGTGCCAAACTATACTTTCTTTTGCCGTTTAGTTTATATAGATTAAGACCAGTCATCGGGACCTTATTGTCACATTTTGGCTGCTAAAATGAGAAGTTATAAATATTCACATTCTTTACAATAACCGTCTTGTCATGTCCCATTAATTATTGAACACCATTCATCTTAACTATGTATGTATCCATTCCATGTTAAACTTACCTATTTGTAACGACTAGTTGACTTGTAGTTTTGACCAGTAAGCTACTGAACATGCTCAACCAGTTTGAATAATTAGACTAGTAGATTTACCAGTTTACGAGTAGCTAAGACCAATTAGACTAGTATATTTGACCAGTTACAGAGTCTGACCAATTAGATTAGTATTTTTTACTTATACACAATAGTACATTTCTCTAGTTGAATAACTAGACTCATTTCCTATCAAATTTGGGACGGTCGGGTAGCCTAGTGGTTAAAGCGTTCGCTCGTCACGCCGAAGACCCGGATTCGATTTCCGGTGTCCCCCGCCGTGATATCGCTTGACTATTGCTAAAAGCGGCTTAAAACCATACTCACTTTTAAATTTGACTAGTTGCATAGTCATTCTATTGGCAGTCAAGTTGACTAGTTGTATTTTTTGTGTGTATAAACAATGGAACTAACAATTATCTCCCTTTGACCAGACCCGTCTGACACACTCAATATATACAAACAATGCATGAATGTCTGTCAAATGTTCGAGGGAAGCATTACCGTGCTAAAAAAAATGCTTGAACAAAGACAGCGCCATACTTTGTTCAGACTTTGCGCGGTTAAGTCTACATCAAACCATCTCATGTTCATCTCCCGTTTGTCTCATGTCCATTGCCTGTCTTATTCGTAACACCATAGTTAGTATCATGTTGTGAAATGGAGACAGGATCTGCTAATATACATCCTGAACTCTGAGCTTGTTGTCAAACTGTTGTTTGAACGACTTTACACAAACTTGCTGGAAGTGCCAATAATTATTAGTCCGCATGTAGTCCCCCTTTAAAACGAGTGCAAGTGTTAACTGACTAAAGAATATATCCATGACATAAGCCTATCACATAAAAACATGTATATCGTAACCCAATTACAAAAGTATGCAAATTAGATAACCGGAAACGTCACTTTTTGCACGTGCACGTTGACTTATGTTTATACAACGGAACAACATGGAATCCTTTGATCAAGTGGATGTTGAAAAACAACGTTTTAATCCTGGTTTTAGGTTCGGGGTAATACAGTGTTAACAGAGTTGCCAAATTCCTATTAAAGGTTACCAGATGGTTAAAGATTGATGGTATAGAAGTTGTTGTCTCAGATACACTTTCAGCGTGCCTAATCTTTCGACCAATAGTTTATCGGAAATCGTACTGAGAGAGTCAAACTATTCACTGGCATGTGGGAAGCAGCCAGGCTCTTGACGTCAACATACTACTTACAAAGCTCTTTGGATGTACACATCTTTTCCAAAAGTTGAATGATAACAATGTTCTACCAAATCAAAACACACAGACAACTGGTTACAAGAACAACCAATCTGTGAATACTTACTGTTACATAAATCCCGATCAGCACAAATATCACAATTTTCAGGAAGCATTCCATCAAACGTAGAATAATGTTACATCCCAGCTTGATGTGTTCCTGAAACTCCGGAGTCGCCAAATACCGGCCCATGCGTGCGACATGTACAAATCTCCAGGTGGCAGCAGTCAGCAATCTCAAATTATCCATGTTCTTCTCCAGGCGCCAGCACTATGCTTGCTGGTTATGAAACTCTCTTGTAATATTCGTTTATGATAATAAAACGACAAAACCCTTTCCACATCCAATAGAAATATCTGCATAAAGCAGAGTCGATTGTACAATTCCGACTATATCATGAGCATGTGTTTATGAATCACTATCAAATAGTAATGACAAGGGTGAGCGTATCCTGCCCCACTGGTATCACCCGTCACAAACACATGCAAAGGCAAGTCAGTTGTTCGCCTGATAAAAAACAATACGAGAACATATGGTACAAGTCAAAATAGGGAAAGCATCAGTCATCACTTTTGTCACTGATGTGTCCTTGCATGTTGTAACCTTGATCAACTTCTGAGCAAGAGTCGTATGAAGATCTTTGAAATCTTGGTGGTAAGAGCATGCTCGACTGTATCTCAAAAGTCGTGAAATGTAAACACCAAAGGCTGGGGCTGCTGGAATATTGCTGGACAAAACTGCCCACTGGTCTCGAGTGGGACATGGGTTGATGTACCCTCTCTGTTAGTGTATGTTCCCTGTGCCCGATGGGGGGACATCAACTAATGTCACCCGAGGGACCGGTGTGTAATGATTTCATCTTACCGCACACCCAATTTTATCGTAGGTTTGTCTTAAACATGCATGTTTTGGTCCGAATCGGTAAGAATACCGCAGTTAGGCATTTATCCACGTCCAAAATAAACTTAGAGTTGTTCCCCCTTGATCTTATTCATTCGGATAATATCGTACATATCCGGAAAATGGCGACTTGTATAATTAATTCGAGATACAAAATTGGGGTAGCTATGTTGCAAATGTAATGCCAACAGTTCGGGTGGAGAACTTAAGAAATGTACCTTACATGTAAGCGGGGTACATTGAAATTAATAGAATGGTCTCAGCCAATCAGAATCCGAAATTCATGTGTAAGGTTAGATAAATATTTTTAAACCTCCAACTGATTTTGTTTGTTTATCTGTTTGTTGTTTAACGCCGTACTCTGTAATATTCCAGTTATATGACGATGAACTGTAAACAATCGAGTCTGGACCAGATAATCCAGCGATTGACATCATGAGCATCGATCCACGCAATTGGGATACGATGACATGCATCAACCGAGCCTGACCACCCGATCCCGTAGGTCGCCTCATACGACAAGCATAGTCGCCTTTTACGGCAAGCATGGGTTACTTAAGACCTATCCTGCCCCGGATCTTCACGGGTGAACTGATTTTCATCGAAAGTGACCGTGACAATGACTAGAATGTACTGTTGTGACCTCTTACACATCCTTCCATCATTTCTTGAGGAAAAGTTCCAGGAACCTAAATTTATTTCTGGGTGAATGTTACAGGGTTATAATATATCGATTACCAGATTAACTGGTCTCGGCGGATATTGCCCTCACGATGAACTCTCCCTGTGTTATATGCTCGTGTTTATAAATGAATGCGGGTCTTGAAATTACATACACTGCTTGTTCATGCTTGGGTTCGTGTTTGTCCATACGATATATTGTAATATTAAACAAAGAAGGACGTGTACGTGCAGCCTTGATGACACTGTCCCCGTGTCCGTTGTGCCTGAAGCAGGTCTCTTGTCTGGAGAATGTCGGACTCTGAACACCACGATAACAAAGTAGACGGTCTCCTTACCCAGCCTTCTCTCTACTGGTCAAAAACGTACCTGTCTAGCAGGAGAATTAAATACGTACTGATAGTCAGTGTGGCGATAGGGCAGGTTATCAGCTGTTGGTCAGGTACAGAAACACATGGAGATAGAAAGAGAGCATGTGACAATCTGGACCAGAGTCCGTTGTCTCAGTATTCACACACTCCCCTCGTCGTCACGATGTTGGTGCTGTTGCTGTCCGCTGTAGTTGCTGTGAGTGTAGGAACGCCGCTGTCCCTCCAGGACAGTACTCCCCAAGCGTTCACGGTCAACCTTGACCTCGCCCCTGCTCAGCGGTGGGGACATGTGGTCATCAAATTTTCTAAACTGGCGAAAGATGCACACAAGGTCATAGCGTAAGTAACATGATGCTGTTGGCGTCAGGATGTGACTGATCAGGGACTAGGACGGGTTCGACCCCATCCCTGTTGATACAAGAAGCATAAAGCTCAGAATAGAAAATAACATATAGGTTTTAACAAATATGTATTTACATTTACATGAGACCCGTGAAGATCCAGGGTAGAATTGGTCTTCAGCAACCCATACTTGCCGTAAAAGGCGACTATGCTTGTCGTAAAAGGCGACTAACGGGATCGGGTAGTCAGGCTCGCTGACTTGGTTGATGCATGTCATCGATCCCAATTGAGTGGGTCGATGCTCATGATATCAATCACTGGATTGTCTGGTCCAGACTCGATTATTTACAGACCGCCGTCATATAGCTGGAATATTGCTGAGTGCGGCGTTAAACAAGAAACCAACCAACAACAACATTTACATGAGAAATACATATGTTGTATTTGTAGACGTTAAAACACGTTTAGGCCAATTTTATGTTATATACATTTTCTCCTTTAATGGGAGAGGCACTGGGGTAGCTTTCAGATAACGGATCTTACATAGATCGAAATAAATTGACTTCCGTTTATTTCATAGCGACAGGGTCATATCAATTCGGGTTCGTTTTATTTTATGGTATACCTCTGTAACTGTCGTATTATATGACCACGTGACTCCATGATTTATTTTAACATGAATTTGTGTGATTCATCTTGGCCGAAAATGCATATATCCACTGTAACAGATGCTGAAACCGCGGACGCACATTCAGACTTGATGTCGAAATGTGACCTACTTCCGTCAAAAGGTCACTGCGTCCCACAAAGTGGAACGATTATTCTGACGACAACCTTACGTATGGAAGCGTAATAGTGCCACATTCTAAAAATAAGTATCATCTACTCATCTAAAAAAGTATCATTTACGTAGAAAAAAGTATCATCTACGTAGATGGAAGTATCACCTAGGTAGATGGAAGTATCACCTAGGTAGATGGAAGTATCACTTCCGTAGATGGAAGTATCACCTAGGTAGATGGGAGTATCACCTACGTAGATGGAAGTATCACCTAGGTAGATGGAAGTATCACCTAGGTAGATGGGAGTATCACCTACGTAGATGGAAGTATCACCTAGGTAGATGGAAGTATCACCTAGGTAGATGGAAGTATCACTTCCGTAGATGGAAGTATCACCTAGGTAGATGGGAGTATCACCTACGTAGATGGAAGTATCACCTAGGTAGATGGAAGTATCACCTAGGTAGATGGGAGTATCACCTACGTAGATGGAAGTATCACCTAAGTAGATGGAAGTTTCACCTAGGTAGATGGAAGGATCACCTAGGGAGATGGGAGTATCGCTTCCGTAGATGGGAGTATCATCTACGTAGATGGAAGCATTCTCACGTAGATGATATGTTTTAAGACTGTGGCACTAATACGCTTTCATACTTCCGTATTTCCGAAATATAAACCCATTGTTTAGCACACAGAAACACTGAAACATACACAGACTTTGAGTGTCAATGTCACTGCATATTATTAGACTAGCATTCTCCCGGAGGGAATTTAACATATCATAAGGTGCTTGTTAACCGATCCACTGTTTCCTGTACATTGCAGAAATAGAATATGTTTAAAACACATATACACATGATATCAGTCACATCAATGGTGTTAGGGCAGGGTTTATAGGACTTTGGTGGTTATCAAACATGTTAATTAAATGCAATTTTTCTATTGACCGACGGCGAATATAGTGGCATTTACCTGTCAACGTCTTGGAAGCCAGTCGGTGATGGTTTGGTGATGTGAGATGTTATAGTGTTTCATTCATCTCCACCCTGGCTCCATCTGTCTGTTACAGATCCCTCGTCCCTGAAGACGCCATCCCCCTGGTGGAGGAGATTGGCAGTGAACTGGACAGTTACCTCCCCTTGGAGTATGCTGATGAGATGAGAGGTCAGTGAAGCGTGAGAGTGAGAGCGTGTGTAGTGAGTGAGTGAGTGAGTGAGTGAGTGAGTGAGTTGGGTTTAACGCCGCTTTTAACAGTATTCCAGTTATATCACGGCGTGTCAGCTTAATGTGGGAGGAAAGCCCGAAGTGATGCAGGTCTCAGACGTTTACCACTTCGGTGAAACCGACGAGCACAGGTATGGTGCTGACAAACCTAGAAACATAATTGGGGCGAACCGGGATTCGAACCCACAATCATAGGTTTCTGGCGTGCCCAAGGGACGCAACTCTGCACAGCGAATCGCGGCGCCTTAGACGACTGGGCCACCCGTGCCCCCGAGAGCGTGTGTAACCTTCAACGTGAGCGTGACCTCCAGCGTGAGTGTGACCTTCAGCGTGAGTGTGACCTTCAGCGTGAGTGTGACCTTCAACGTGAGCGTGACCTCCAGCGTGAGTGTGACCTTCAACGTGAGCGTGACCTCCAGCGTGAGTGTGACCTTCAGCGTGAGTGTGACCTTCAGCATGAGCGTGACCTCCAGCGTGAGTGTGACCTTCAACGTGAGCGTGACCTTCAGCGTGAGTGTGACCTTCAGCGTGAGTGTGACCTTCAGCATGAGCGTGACCTCCAGCGTGAGTGTGACCTTCAACGTGAGTGTGACCTTCAGCGTGAGCGTGACTTTCAGCACGAGTGTGGCCTTCAACCCCAACATCCGACTGAACAAGAGATTGAGCGGTAGAATGATCTTCACAGCAAGTGTGGATGTGAGCCTAAGTTCAAGTGTCAGTCTGTTGGTGAAAGTGTGTCTGAATGTTAGAATATGTGTGAATATCCATCGTAAATATACATGTGATATACAAAATGCCTTGTATTTCTTTTCCAGCTAGGTTTTACTGTATTTGGTTGATTATTTCAGGCATCGCGACTGCTATGAACGCCAGTCTCGGGGACATCGTGCTCGTCAACCTCGCATACGACATCACAGCGTAAGTCTCCTACTACTCTTTCGTGCACGTTAAGACAAGACAACTAATTTGTTTGTCTCCAGCTCTGTGGCTGCAGCCTTGAAACAATCGTGTCTGGACCAGGCAATCCAGTGACTGATATTGTGAGCAAATATCCACGTCGACAGGGTACAAGGACAAGCAATCAACCAAGTCACTGAGCCTGACCGCCTCTTTCGACCAGCACGGGTTGCTTGGGCCCTATTCTTAGCCGAATCCCCATGGTGCAAGGCTAACTGATTAGGGCACATGATCTGATTTTATACCGATCTGTCCCCACGGGGCAAGGATTACGGATTAGGGCACATGATCTGATTTTATACCGATCTGTCCCCACGGGGCAAGGATTACGGATTAGGGCACATGATCTGATTTTATACCGATCTGTCCCCACGGGGCAAGGATAACGGATTAGGGCACATGATCTGATTTTATACCGATCTGTCCCCACGGGGCGAGGATAACTGATCAGGGCACATGATCTGATTATATACCGATCTGTCGTGAGCGGGGTCTGGTGATCAGGCTCGCTGACTTGATGCATCTCATCGTATCTCAGCTGGGTGGATCGATGCTCATGACGTTAATCACTGGATTGTCTTGCCCAGACTCGATTATTTACAGACCGCTATCATACAGCTAGAATATTGCTGAGTGCGGCGAAAAACAACAATCAAACAAACTGTCCCCACGGGCAAGGCTAACTGATTAGAGCACATCATCTGATTATATTTCGATCTGTTGCCAGGGTCGTCGCTGATTGTATATCTTTGGTTGAGACAGACAGACAGACAGACACAGACATACATACAGACGGACGGACGGACGGACAGACAGACAGACAGAGACACACAGACAGACAGACAGACAGAGCAGCTGTTCAAGTTGCACCTATTGGTTCTGCCATTGTTTCGAAATCCGAGATCCGCCATAACTATTTTCCTTAGGTGGTCAAAAACACAACCTTCTATTCTCACTTTTATGACCTGTGTCATTTGCTGACAGCAAAGCTAACTCACTCACTAATCCAACGATAACTACACCCTGTGGTGACATCACATTACATGTGTGTTCGTGGGAGGTGTTGTATGTAAGACCGTCATCCATGTTTGTTCTCTCTGTTCCTGCAACTCTCTGTCGCCTGCTTCAGATTTTGCACGAGTATCGTCTGCCAGGACAGCAAGGGTCAGATCTGGCACGCGAGGAACCTGGACTACAGCTATGGCGATATCCTCCGTTCCATAACCATCAAGGTGGACTTTCAGAAGGGGGGCCAGGTAAGAGAGGCAGATACTCTCAGGAAGTCTCAGAAACTCTTGTAGACTGACGAGTGAGTTTTATTAAAGTTACGCCGCAGTAAGCAATATCCAAACTATTTCCATGTAGTCTGCAAGTAATACGATCCTGGCTGGCAAAACAAGGGTTGACTGCATGAACAACGATCACGTGACACACAAGTCTGGACACACATTGCACCCAACCAATCCTCATTTGTCGGCTCTTACGTCAAGGTCAAGGTCAATGGAGTAGTATATTGGTTAAAGCGTTCGCTCGTCACTCCGAAGGCCCGGGGTCGATTCACCACGTGAGTACAGTTACAGAAGCCCATTTCTGGTGTCCCCCGCAATAATATTGCTGGAATATTGCTAAATGCGGCGTAAAACCATACTCAATCACTCTTGCGTCAAGCGTTTTGGAGTAAGGACCTAAACTACCCAGTCCGAGATTCGATCTCCTGCGGAGGTCTGGTGAAGTTTTACAGTTTGGTGTGATCAGGCGCCATTTTGTGTTCTGCATGCTGTAGTGTACGTTGTGTTTCAGACGGTGTACACCGGCGTCACTTTCGCTGGCTACGTGGGCCTCCTGACCGGACAGCGGCCTCAGGCCTTCACCGTTACCGTGGACGAGAGGGGTAGGGACATACCGTTAAATAGTACCGTTGAACCAATCACGGGTTGAGCGTAATGCTCCTTTGGACATATTTAATTCCAAACAAGCCTGACTGGCCGGGACGTGAGATCTTTGCTGAGGTTTCACTATGTACAGAAGCACACGTTACAACGGCCTCTCACAACTTGGCCACTGGCACTGTATCCCTGTTATACCGTTGTAACATGTGTCCTTACTCAGCATTAAGACTGGCCTCGTTATACAGTTAACTACGGTTATAACGAACTCAAAGGGACTACTAATTTTAGTTCGTTATAACCGTAGTTCGTTATAAGCATATATACAGCATAACTTCAGTAAATAGTCGGGGCCAAAAACGTAAGTTCGTTATATCCATCAGTTCGTTATAAGATGGTTCGTTATAACCGTAGTTTACTGTACATTACAACTGGTAAAGAGCCTGCTACAATTACAATTTTGAAATTTATTCATATTATCTGAAATTATTTTTCGTTTCCTATGTTAATCGAACAGTGTGTTTAGCTATTTTTTTGGAAAGCTCAAAGTGGTGCATGAGCAACTTTTGATCATGATCAACATGTATCTAGGTTTCGAACCAACTATCCACAGACCTTGGCACGACTAAGGGGCGCAACTCTGCAGAGTCTCCCGCAAATGGACCACTACGGTTGATAGAAAACGCCCAGAACGACGATAATTCGAAACTGAGGCTATGTATATTAGACATGTAGGACAAATCGTAACCCTGCACCATGACTCTTGAATATATGTATTTTATGAAAACAAAACAAATTTAGATTTATATAAAAGTAAGTCAGGCCAGCTCTATTCCAAAATCGCATCAGAAAAAATAGAGGAGAGAAGTGTATTGTGTAATAAACTATTTTATAGGCTGCATGTTAGTCTGGATAGATCGCTGGTATAAAGTATAGCTCAATGTGTGTTTATAGATCAGGGCCAGTGGTGGATGAACCTACTGATCGCCATCTTGGACCAGACAGCCAAGCCCCTCAGCTTGCTCGTCAGGGACGTAAGTACCGTTCACGACATGATGCAGAGTGCTTCTGAAGACAATAGTCGCCTTTGGAGGCCAGGAGAGTACGTTCTGGGGCCTCGATCCTAGCAATACGGCTGCTGTAATCATACGTTAAACTATGGGACTTGGAACGACCGTAGAGCTGAGATCGCTCTGTGAAGGAGGCCCGACCCAGATATGTCACCCTTTACACGATGACAAGAATCCCTACATATATCACTGATTCATGTGACGAATAATTGGCCAAGAGCTCTGTGTCACTTCTTCGCTATGTGATATCGATCTGCTCTGTGACTAGGGAATATATGCATTTAATCTTCTCCAAGCTAGTCTCGATTCCCCAAATAGGCCGGCTACATTCCACATAGAAATCAGCATTAGATATAGGACATTATAATATAGGACACTGCCTGATGTAGCATCCACTTACACATCCGCGTTCAGTGAACACACCGAAATGGCAAAATACCACAAGTGAGTGAACACCATGAGTGAATACCACGAATGAGTGAACACCATGAGTGAATACCACGAGTGAGTGAATACCACGAATGAGTGAACACCATGATTGAGTGAACACCATGAGTGAATACCACGAGTGAGTGAATACCACGAATGAGAGAACACCACGAGTGAGTGAACACCATGAGTGAATACCACGAATGAGTGAACACCAGGATTGAGTGAACACCACGCGTGAGTGAAAACCATGAGTGAATACCACGAATGAGTGAATACCACGACTGAGTGAACACCAAGTTTGAGTGAATACCACGACTGAGTGAATACCACGACTGAGTGAACACCATGTGTGAGTTAACACCAAGGTTGAGTGAACACCGAGATTGAGTGAACACCGAGATTGAGTGAGCATCAGGATTGAGTGAACATCAGGATTGAGTGAACATCAGGATTGAGTGAACATCAGGATTTAGTGAATAGTGTTTCGCGCTGCAGATACTGCTGCAGTATCACATCAGTACCACAGTATCGAGCCTGCATCAGACAAACCAGTTCTCGGTGGTGTGAGCAACGATCCACGCCGTTGGGGTTTTATGGGTCAAGTTGACAGTTGGCCTGTTCAGCAGCCATTGTAACCATATGATCCCCATTACAATCGGCCATTGGTGTCTGGAAGGTTCTGCTGTACCAGCATTAAACAGACGTGGTGGAAAGGAGCCTGGTACAAATCCTGATCAAGGTAGCTTTTTTCTTACGCCAGGTCTTAGCCACCTCACCGACATATGCTGACGCCGTGGAAGTCCTCTCCAGCACCGACACCGAGGCCGACGCCTACTTCATTGTAGGGGGCGCCAAGAGCGGGGAGGGCGTGGTCATCACCAAGTCGAGGATCGGAGCAGACGACCTGTGGTACATGAACGAAGCAGCTCCTGGGTGAGTGAGTGAGGGGTAAGGGGGGTGCGACTGTGGATTTAACGCCATTCAGGTCGATGAATTACAGTTTCGGTGATACGAAGGGTACGGATATGGTCCCGACATACCACAGGTCATCAGTTGCGTGCATCTGAGCTATGGCATCAGTGATTGGTCGACACAGGGTATTTCAGACTTGTTTGTTTCGGGAAGGTCTACATATCACATGACACATGCAGCGTCAATAACAGCCCGTGATATTGAAACTTAATGTGTGATCTTGGCGTTTGAGTAACTTGTGTTTGTATCCAACATGACTGCAAAGTAAGGCGTGTTTGTTTCAGATGGTTCGTTGTAGAGACGAACTACGATCACTGGGTTCTTCCACCTACAGATGACAACAGACGGTAAGGACGATTTAAGTCGCTGTCTGGGCTGCGTCTAGAGGGGGGGGGGGGGGGGGGGGGGGGGCTCTGAGCTGATGATAAGCATAACGCTGTGCCAGGGTCACCCTTACCCTCTTTGCTGCATTACTTATTTTAATCTGATAATAATAATAATAAAAATAAAAATAATAATAATAATAATGCTGATGATGATGGTGATGATGATCATGATGATCTAAACTTAGTCCTATGCCAGTTACCGAGTAAGAAACATGCAAGAGATATAAAGCTTCCTCGTATTGCTTCAAGATCAACATAACAAGAAAACAGCGTTATCACTTTCCCCCGCCAAGGGGCACATTAGAGTTTAATTTGTTCATACAGTAGTGAATATAAACTATAAAAGTCATATAAAGCCTGAAATAGAGATAGCCACTGAGGCCGCTTTATGTCATCAGAAAAAGTGATTAAATGTTAAATTAATACACACAAAAGGCCCCTTCTCTGGAAAAAGATAACTCGGTCTTGATAAGTATCTCTTAGATAAGCTAACTTTAATTGTTTCTCAGAAAACTTATCAACGTTTTACACACCATGCACCAAGCAAAATAACATGGACCAAGGGCTGTAACACTGTAAACAAATAATTTACAGGACCAATTTTCGAACGCATTCTTCACAAGAATCACTCAGATAATCATGAAAACTTTCATTCGAGTAACTTCAGTAGTTTCTGTGAAAACTTGCCCCCATTGCACAAAGTATGTACTTAATTGAAAGGCACAAAGCAATGGCCATGATTCTATAAAACATGAATTTACGACCCCAATTTTCGAAGTCATTTGAGGTCATGACCAGTAAAATCTGTGTGTAAATATCATTTCTATGACTCAAATAGTTTTTGAGAAAATTAGCCTCTTTTGAGAAGGGGACAGACGGACGGACGAACTCCGTTCCTATATCCCCTGCCCCACTTCGTGGCGGGGAATAATAATATGATTTAGTCGTACTCTGTTGACAGTGACCCCGCAGTGAACGCCATGAAGGCTATGGGCCAGGGCAACATCAGCGTCACCAGCCTCTACAACGTCATCTCCACCCATCCCGTCCTCAACAAGTAAGAAGTTTAAGGGTTTAAGTGAGTGAGTGAGTTGGGCTGTGCATACAATTCAGGGCGTGTCAGGAAAACCCAAAAGTGACGCAGTTCGTTGACGTTTACCGTAATGAGGTGATCCGTGGGACGAAAGATCTTTAATCTCGGATTCAAACCGACGATTCAGAGGATCCTGGCACAACTAAGGGAAGCAACTCTGTGAAGCGAAATGTGGCGTTATCACCACTGGACCAAGCATGACTCCGCGGTTTCTGTATCAACTGTTTTCCTCACAAGACCGATGCAACTGTTGACTGACATTCAATTTTTTTATTTTCTTTGTTTGCACTATTCCGGCTATATGACATCGCTTTTAATACAGTAATTAAGTGCCTTAGCCGCAGTAACCACATTACCTGTATTTTGTACAGCTCTTATCCGCATGCCTGACAGTTTGCATCACAAAAGACTAACTAGCAAACTGTTGTCCGCGCAACCAAGATGGTTGTCGTTTTCGTAAAGCTATTTCACGTTCAAACTAATTTAGCCGAACATGTTTAGATAATCAATGGGGAAGCCATCTTTTTTTCACGCTTTCAAATGGCATCGGAATTCTGCCATATTGCACATGGGCGGATACAGAGGGGGGTGCGGGGGTGCGCACCCCCCCTTTTTATTTCGAAAAAAATCTTTTTTTCTTTTGCATGTTGCATGTTGCATGAATTGCTTTTACCACTTCTTGTCAACTAACTCATCTGGAACGCCATGTCGTCTGATTGACTTGTCTGTTACAGTAAAACCGTCTACAGCATCGTCATGTCTGCAGCCCAGCCTACCGCCCTGGCCTCCTGGATCAGGACCCCTTAAGCCCCCAGTCCCCGCCCTTGCAACGCCCACTCTCAGACAACACATTTCCACCGCTACATAGAGCTACATAATGAAGTGGGGATCTTTAAGAGATCGTTACATTCGTATGTGCATCCACATAACTTTTCGAACCTCGTTTCGGAAAATCAGTACGACAAACGCACTCATGTGAACATCGTTATAAATTCATGTTTATATGATTCAAACAATAAAAAAGAATTTTATTTTCTATCTGTATGTTTTTTTAAAATGTTATTCTTTCTTTATAAGGTTATGCATCCTCTGTATCTCCAGCTCTCGTAAGGGGGAGTAATTTGAGATCGCGAGAACAACGCGTTTTCACTTCACATCGATCATGGTTCCATTGCCAACACGGCTATGGTGTGTACGAAGTCCCTTCATGGAGTCCTTCAGTTATGACTGCTTTAACAGTATCAGGTTTTATTTATATATAAATAATACATGTGTGTACAGCTACAGTCTACCAACCATTCGCCAGAGAAGGCAACCACGCCCTTAACAACCAAGGGAGATAACTCTCAAAGTGCCCCACCTACCCATCTGAATTTTTGCTGGAATGGAAGACCTTCTGTGACTCTTCCGCGGTGTAGTTACTTTAGGAGCCTAAAGTTCGATATGTACTATTCGCTATAAATATGACGGGGAAAAATCATGAAAAACAAATCGCCTACAACTGTTTGCATTTGGTATGAATTTGATATGAAAACAACCAGTTGTACAACAAATAATGTTTATGAGAAAGTGAGGTTGTTCGTCAAAACAATTTGCTGTTTAAAGCTGATGTAAACATTTATCAATAGAACTTGAAATTGCACATGAAATTATACACCCGAATAGAAGATAAATAACTATCACTACATGTAGCGTGACATGTTACTTCCGCGCTGAAACCACCTACCCTTCGGTCGTATTGTTGATGGTCTTGCCTTAAGAGGCGACTAACAGGATCGGGTGGTCATCGCTGTCATCGTATCTGGATTGTCTGGTCCAGACTGGATTATTTACAGACTGCCGTCATATAGCTGGAATATTGCTGAGTGCGGCGTTAAACAAAAACATAGGATAGAATATTTAAATTGTGTGAATCAATGTAGATAGGACCAAATAATCTAGTTTCAAACAGGAACATCTTCCGAGTTATCATGAACAATGCTATTAGTTAGAAGCGATCGTAAATGTCATGTTTAGTTTAGCGCGTTCTGCAATGACAGTTCGGATCAAGAAGACCACGAGAATGGCCCGAAACAGTTTGCAGAAACAGGATTAACATTCAAGGTTGATATGGTAGGAATTAGTCGTCCGTGGTTTCAACCTGTAGACTTGAAATGTTAAAAAATATTAAAAGAGAATATTTTTTAATTCACATTGTCGAATAAATTAACAAACACCACAATTCCTATGATGTCGGAAAATGGCGGATTCTGAGAGAATGTCACGTCTCGAGCTGACTCTCGTATTGGTTAGTCATGTGATCTGCCGAGTGACAGGAGGCGAAAGGTTAACTATGGTTAAACTCGACTGTTGTTATAATTGATCCCAATAACAACGATGAAAGACACTGGGAGGTTGGTTGGTTGGTTGGTTGATTAATATCATGAACATCAATCCACGCAATTGGGATACGATGACATGCATCAACCAAGTCAGCGAGCCTGACCACCCGATCCCGTTAGTCGCCTTTTACAACAAGCATATTCTCATTTTACGGCAAGCATGGGTTGCTGAGGACCTATTCTACCCCGGATCTTCACGGGTCCACTGGGAGGACAGGAGTAGAAGGAATGCACTTTTCTTGGACTGTGACATCACTTCCGTTATCCATTGCAACATTTCCATTCAAAACAGTAATTGCTGCTTCAGTTTGAACTATAACATCGGGAAGACAAGAAAACACAGGTGACTACTTGTTTTTACTTGAAAAAAACCCCACACCATACCAATGTTACAAAGGCCAGGGTATTACTAGTATTATATATCCCATATGGGGATGAAACATTGCCAAACTGATGAGTGCTATCTGCATGCTCTGTGCCCTACAGTCACCTGGGTCGGGTGCTTGTTGGTTCGCTGGATCTGCTTTTGACGTTTCTCGAGCCAATGATTGCAACATGGCGACTTTCTGGATTGTCCCACAATTCCCTCCGTCAGTGTCACGTGCCGTGATACAGGGTCAAGGTTAACAATGATCTTCGAAGGCTATGATGGAAGCCTGGTAACAAGTAATACAAACGTTACTTCACCGTCGGAAGTTTATTGTAGTTGAATTTAATGTGTAAACATTCATTAATACATGGTTATATGGCTGAGGAGAAGAAATCTTCTTCATTAAATTGAATTCAAATTAAAACTCCAATTTAGAAATATCTCACCGGTGAAAAGGTGATAGCCGTTCTATTAATACAATACAGAAGATAAAACTGTGAGAATAAGATAGAAATCTTTGAAAGTTGCTGCAAGTGGTTTTCAGAAGACGTACGAGACAATATAATGTTTCATATACCCGACGCAGACACAAGATCTATAAGAGGCCACTGAATAACCTTGAAAGTTAAGCTTGAAAGTGTTCTTGTATAATGATTTATCTTTCTCAGGCTGTGCACTTCTTACATTCTCCCTAATGCTATTATGACCGGGCCTTTATGGCTACTGTGTCACTGCGTCGTTACAATTATTACATAAAGGAGACACGTCTTTATCAATCCTGGTTCCATGTGCATTTAGCCACAGTGGGCAGGCTGGTGTCTCACGGGAACGGCTTCATCTGTTCACGTTGGTAAACTCTGACATACGAGCCAACCTTTGAACATAAAGAATAAAGATGGCGTCCAATTGTACCATCATCACACATCTGTTGCCAGGTTACAATTAGAACGTTTTCTTTGTGTGAATATCAATCTCTTGGACATGGACTAAACTCACCCATGTTCATCTCTGATCTTGAGAGACGAGGTGTGGCTGGTTGATTACGGATGTAGCCAGTTGATCGACAGGTGTGGCTGGTTGAATACGGGTGTGGCTAGTTGATTGACAGGTGTGGCTGGTTGATTACGGGTGTGGCTGGTTGAATACGGGTGTGGCTGGTTGATTACGGGTGTGGCTAGTTGATTGACAGGTGTGGCTGGTTGAATACGGGTGTGGCTAGTTGAATACGGGTGTGGCTAGTTGATTGACAGGTGTGGCTGGTTGATTACGGGTGTGGCTGGTTGATTACGGGTGTGGCTAGTTGATTGACAGGTGTGGCTGGTTGAATACGGGTGTGGCTAGTTGATTACGGGTCTGGCTAGTTGATTGACAGGTGTGGCTGGTTGAATACGGGTGTGGCTAGTTGATTGACAGGTGTGGCTGGTTGATTACGTGTGTGGCTGGTTGATTACGGGTGTGGCTAGTTGATTGACAGGTGTGGCTGGTTGAATACGGGTGTGGCTAGTTGATTGACAGGTGTGGCTGGTTGAATACGGGTGTGGCTAGTTGATTGACAGGTGTGGCTGGTTGATTACGGGTGTGGCTGGTTGATTACGGGTGTGGCTAGTTGATTGACAGGTGTGGCTGGTTGATTACGGGTGTGGCTGGTTGAATACGGGTGTGGCTGGTTGATTACGGGTGTGGCTAGTTGATTGACAGGTGTGGCTGGTTGAATACGGGTGTGGCTAGTTGATTGACAGGTGTGGCTGGTTGATTGACAGGTGTGGCTGGTTGATTACGGGTGTGGCTAGTTGATTGACAGGTGTGGCTGGTTGAATACGGGTGTGGCTAGTTGATTGACAGGTGTGGCTGGTTGATTACGGGTGTGGCTGGTTGAATACGGATGTGGCTAGTTGATTGACAGGTGTTGCTGGTTGATTACGGGTGTGACAAGTTGATTGACCTGTGGGGCTAATTGATTACGGGTGTGGCTAGTTGATTAACAGGTGTAGCTGGTTGATTACGGGTGTGGCTAGTTGATTACAGATGTGGCTGGTTGTTTACAGATGTGGCTAGTTCATTTGCAGGTGTGGCTAGTTGATTTACAGGTGTGGTTGGTTGATTACAGATGTGGCTAGTTGATTTGCAGGTGTGGCTAGTTGATTTACAGGTGTGGCTGGTTTATACAGATGTGGCTAGTTGATTTGCAGGTGTGGCTAGTTGATTTGCAGGTGTGGCCAGTTGATTTTCAGATGTGGCTGGATTAATTACAGGTGTAGCTAGTTGATTTACAGGTGTGGCTAGCTTAATTACAGGTGTGGCTAGTTGATTTACAGGTGTGGCTAGCTTAATTACAGGTGTGGCTAGTTGATTTACGAGTATTGTTGATTTACAGGTGTGGCTAGTTGTTCTAGTCACTGGTTGCCACTACGTAGGTTAACTCTGACATACGAGCCAACCTTTGAACATAAAGAATAAAGATGGCGTCCAGTTGCACCATCACCCCTGGATTACAGTTACACATCTTCTTATTTTTAACTTCCACATCTCTTAGAAATGAACTAAATCTGCTAAAGTTCACCTCTGATCCTGCTAGCTCTAGTGTGGCTAATAATCAACTTATTTCCGACGACGTCGACCAGGGTCATAACCACGACAATATCGTTGTTGATGTATGTCAGTCTTTCAAACTTAATTGATAACATACCATCTTGTTCCAGACACTTTAGAATCAATAGTCTGAACTGCGGCCATAAACTCCGTAATTAACTTCATGAATGTATTTAATAACTCTTATCAAAGCTTATAGAAAGCCGAAAGCTCGGAGAAGGTTCCGCGGTATGTACTGAAAGAAAAATGTTGAAGCGAATCCTTTTCTTGATGAATCGTGCGGCAATCAGGGCCACCGGAGTTACTTCCCTTGTCATATGTGTCGAGTATATATGTACATATTATATATGCACCACAGTGGTCCATTCATATAATTTTTATTTTCGCTATTTTGACTTTGGTTTCAGCAGAATATCGAGTCTATTCTTATCGATTATCGAGATTATATTTACTACGTACATGAGGTAGATCAGCCAACGATCAATTGGAGTCTCGTCCCTGTCAACAATAGAGCAGCATTACGAAAAATATAATCATGGGTTCCACTGTGTGTTGAGAGACCCGTAAAGATCCGGGTTGAATTGGTCTTCATCAACCCATGCTTGCCGTAAAATGCGACTGTGCTTGTCGTAATAGGCGACTAACGGGATCGGGTGGCCAGCCTCCCTGGCTTGGTTGATGCATGTCATAGTATCCCAATTGCA